CCTGGCGTTCCAGGTGTGCCAGGAGTGCCAGGTTGTGGTGGTGTTCCAGGATACCCGGGTTGTCCTGGCGTTCCAGGCGTACCAGGCGTACCAGGCGTGCCAGGTATACCAGGAGTTCCTGGTTTGCCTGGATATCCTGGTTGTGATGGCATTCCGGGATATCCTGCAAATGAAATTTTTGTATTTGTTATGGATCTTTTTAAAATTTTCGTACTAGTATTCTTTCATCGCATATTGTATGTTTCGTACAGTATCGTCGATTGCCATTCTGTCATGTTGTGCATGCCAGGGTTATTCGGGTATTCCGGTTGTTTTGGTGGATTCTGTATTTTACCTGGTTTTGTTAGTGTTCCACCTATGATTGAGCCATTTGTGTTTGGGCCTTTGTGTTATTTAATGTTAGTGTTTTGGTTTCGAACTTGACTTGTTTGTTTGTTATTTATATGAATAGTGATTTACCTGGTATTGGTATGACGCTTGATCCTGAACCCGTTCCATCGAATTGTCTACATATTTCTGGGAAATACAGATTTGCCCATTCTGTAATCACCCCATGATGATCGTGATGATCATCATGTTCCTGATGATGTTGTCCTGTGTCATCTTCGTGGTGATGTTCGTGTTCATGAAGGAACAATTCAACCGAGTTTCCTGGTTGAACAACTCGATATCCCCAACCATCGCTGATGTAGAACGTTGTTTTCAGCTTTCCAAATGGATCAATATATCCATAGCATCCATACGTGATGTCGTCTGGACCGCGTACCTCGTGATGAAATTGCCCGTTGGGACTTACTTCATAGCCATAATTATATGCATCTGATAAGAAGAATAATAATATATTCAAATATGTACGAAACGATTCTCCAATATGCTGTCATCAATAACTATATACTCACTCGAATAGAAATCTTGATTTAGGTATTGAATTTTCTGCTCGTCACTGATGTTCAATATTACTTCTCTACTCTGCCTGCTTCCTTGTTGCTGTGTGTATTGCAACAGAGATGTGGCAATCACCTATTGCAGATGAATTTACGATTAATTAGTAAAAAAATTGTGTTTTATTATTACAATATTCGTTTGCATTTTATTTTGTAAAGTATATAGTTATGACACTGGGTTTTAGAAGGCTGATTATAAATCAGTAGAAAGCTATAAATAATACAGTTTGTTATTCTAATACGCTTGTAACTCACACTATATGATCAATTAATCAGGAACGATAATTAAGCACGAAATTAGCCAACTTGTTTTTCGCTAGGTGGACTTTAGCTGGACTAATCTTGTTCACCTTTTAAAAGCTTAGCAAAGATTCACTAACAGATCGTCTCGTCATCTTAAATGTCAAGTCGACCGCTTGAAGTTCAGAAATATGCTTGCTGAAACCATGCAACTACATTTTATTCTAAAAATTAGTTCCCTTTTGATTTTAAACAATCAGTTAGGTAACATATTTATATATTTCAATTTTTCTAATTTTCTTTCGTCATAAATTAGTTATATAGGCATAGCTGAAAATGACATACAAAATCTAATTTTTTATTGCCCCTGGGCTTTAATTCATTTCTGACTTTAAAAATTTCAATAAGTTTATACACATTCTTTATTCTGATATTTCCTAATATAAACCAGAAATATCTAGATTAAATTTTGTTCTCTTAAAATATTTTAAGAATACTGTTTCACTATTAAAATACATATAAAAAAAAGACTAAAAGGAGGTTTCGCTATTACTTTACGAGCATTATTTTTGTTCATGTGCCCTTAACGAACACGTTATCCCACCTTCGTACACGCATAAAACAAGGTAGTACCACGAAATCGTTGTACTATGCTTAATTTCACTTTTTTTTTATCACTAACAATAACGTTTGATCTTCTTATACCCTAAAAGTCAACTTACTGAGTCCTGTAATAATTTCCACGTGCTTAATGCTAAAAAAAAGCCTTTTTCGTTCGCGTTGCAGTTTAGGATAATTAAAAAATAAAGTCGCGTAACCTTTCAATGGAACATCATCGTGTTCCTCAGAGGAACGATAAACATCTCAGGAACATCGGCAATCCTTATAACGTTTTACACTTCGAGTGAGTCTTCCCCAAAGAAATTTTATTTCAAAATAATGAGGTCAATGAGGCTTGTACGATTTACGTCGACAAGCCACAGTCAGAGGATAAAAATCGTCCAAATTTATTGCTTCTGCTTGGACGTTCGTATTACTACTATTGGCGCTATTGCAGTCACAGTGCGTCATTTTATCTCCCACGTTTTTTTATTATACCCTGAAACCACTAAACGATCATCGGACGTGATATGCGTAGTAAAAGGACAAAAAATGTCTTTTTATTCATGAAGATTTATTCGTAATGATTATAAGAATCATTTTTATTGCTCTACGCTCGTCGTAGCGATAGTGGACTTCCTTCGACTTTGTGGTGAAGCTGCTTCGTTACCTTCGACGATGTTACGGTGGTACAGTGAGATAACAATGCGACAATTAACATGTTAATTTTGTATGGACGATGATTTAACGAGATATTTCTGCTTTATGCGCTCTTCGCGCTATACACGTTGTTATTAAATTATGGTTTCTACGCGTTGCGATTAAGAAATTGTTTAAGCACCGCTTAGTGAAGCTTAAAGGATACAGGAACAAAGGTATTCCGAGTATAATGAAACTAAGCTTCAGGAGCTTAAAGGAATGCAAAATATCGGTTAGACGATGGAGACTTTCACGAAGACGAAGTAAAAATATATTACGGTATAATCGTAACAGAAATATTTTTGAGAATTTGAACGTTAAAGAGATCAGATGGAACGAGTCGATTCATTACCAAAGCAAACATTGCGATTTTCATTAATAGGAATAATTGATCGAAAGTTATATTTTATCGAAGCTACGGATAAGAGCAGATTATCTTTATGCTAAAGAAAACTATTTAACTTATTTAACGTTAAATAACATTCATAATTTTTCATTAAAACGTTAATTAGTAAATTGAAAGTGGATATTTTCGTTTAAGTAGATTATCCGAATATTCCATTACGCGAATCCTGTCCTGTTTATCAACGCCCACTCGTGTCAACCGAAAGTGAAATTTCGAAGCAGTTTCTGCGCGATACCTCGGCCGATCCTACCGAACGAGTTTAGATTCACGTTGTTTGCTTGCATATTTATCGGTTATTGCGGATCGACAGCGAAGAGGAATTATTAATCGCGTTATAGGTTCGAAAAAATACGACTTTCCATTACTTTCGTTCGATTTCCAATTTTCATTCGATTTATGTGTGATCTGGTTATTGGTCTACGAGCATTTTTACGGTGTTTAAGAAATATCGAAGTTAGATATAATGGCTGGGAAAGAAGTTACGAGTAGAAAATACAAGACATTCGTTGCAAACGTATACTTCAACGAGATGACAAGATTCTAATTCTCTACAAAACTCTGATTTCGGATAAATCTTTCTTAACTTTTGCTATGAATTTTCCCAACGCTCTAATCATTGCAAGCCACACTTGTTGTGTATCAAAGCGTTTGAAAGGGTAGCCAGTTAATAGAGACGTTTGTTATAACACGCATCTTCTCGTCCGTGACGTTAAAACACGATTAGAATTATCAACTTATGTTCGTAATCATGATTGATGGTTGCTTAGTTACGGGTTCCACCCACATGAAAGGCAATTGAAACGCTACTTTATTCTTCACAAGTATTTTTGACAGTCCTATTCAATCAGATTAATGATACCTTGCTAAGCTCTAATCACTGATTTCAGCTAGAACACTATGATTTATGCACGCGATGTAATAAGTCAATAACGAAATGAAACAGATACAAATTGGCATTGAGCAATGGGTCGCGTGAACCTTCGCGGTAAGACGGTACGTATAAAAAAAATAGCTGATTAAAAAACGTTTATTTCCTTTTGCTTATTTTGCATAAAATTTGCCAGGCTATCCATTCCTAAGCGTCGTAATACGACGATCGAGGAATGTGCCGTTGAATCGATTACATAGAAGATTGATGGAAAGAATGATGCATTTTCTGGAATTTCACCTTATCGATCCAGCTATTATTAAGAAATCCTAACACCATCGATCACCAACCGAACGATAATCTCCGTGAAAATATTCATTTATAAAAACTGTTTATGCATATACGAACTAGTTCCAGCATATTCTTAATGGTATCAAGGACGTTGGTACCATCGATCTCCGATCGTATTTCCATTCTGATATTTCCGCGACAACGCGTCAAATGAAACATTCCAAAACGTACAACATCTACGATAGTCGACGTCAAATATAAAAACGATTTAATATACGTTTGAGAGATGCACGATAACATCTGATCTATGGTAAAAGTGGTTTCTAAATTTGACAAGTGACGCGTATCGCTTTCTTTCCACGCCTTGCAAATCGCGAACCCTTTCTCGCCCCGCGTTCCAATCCACGTCGATCGAACAGGCTGCGAAAGCAAATTGACTCGGCAGGTTCGCTCCTCCTTGACGAGTACGAGAAATCAATGGTCGCGTACAACCACGTAGTTTCACCCATGAATAATAAACGAAGAGGTCGTCTGGACTCTGAAAGCGCGAGCATTCGATCGCGAAACATCTTGTTCGGCACGAGGTCGACCTAGATCGTTGTGAAAAGTGGCACGATCGCTCGTATCCTGCTAGGACGTTCTTTGCCGCGTGATCGATGATGTCAGACAGCCGTATCGTTCCACCTACGAAAAGGGAAAGTGAGATCCCGAGTAGCTCTTCTTCCCGACCATCTCTTCGCCATATCTCGCCTTCTGTATATACAGTCTTTCGTGTGTGGTGGGAAAGGTTAATATATGCCAACGCTCGACCTGCCCTGCGCCGTGAATCAAACGTCGCCTGTTAATCCCTCTGGTATTCGTGCCGGCGCGATATTTTAGTGGACAATGGTAAATCAAGGATCGAACCCCAGGCAGTAACCATCCGCGTTTACGCGCCTCACCGGCTGTCAAGATTAACATCGTGTCGCGTCGCTCAGACGTCTTCAGGATACACACGGACATAAACCCACATTGGGAACTGGTGAAGATTTCGCGCGACTCGAGGACGTCCGAGAACGCGCGAAAGGCAGTTGATCGATCGTGGTCCGGTCGATCGAAACGAATGTTTCGCCGAGGAAATCACAGGTCACAAAAGTATTCGGACAATTGTAAAGAAGTTCGATGCGTGTGTCATGTAAAATATGTTGAAATTTCGTTTGCGCCGTGATGAGACGCGCGAATACACTTTTTGTTTTCTTTTTTCTTTTCTGTCTTTTCGTTGATGTGCTCTGGATATGGTAAAATTATCTTCATAGAACGCCATATGCTTTTGAATTTGTAGACACGAGCTGCGATAGGAGGGAGGGATTTAGGGATTTTCTCACTAGTGTATTAAAGGACGAAAGACGAATTCCAGTGGTTGAAATTTTTGCGAATAAGAGAGAGCTATACATATGTGTACATTGGCGAATATCGTTTCGATGTACGTATTTCGGATTGTTTATTCTGCGTCCCTGTTGCTTTCATCGCGATTCACTGTTGTTGATATTGAATGTTAGGTGCGCGCGAAGTTATTTCCCGAGGAAAAATATTATTACGAGTAACTACTGTTTAATAAATATTCATATGGTAAATATGCAGCGTGATAGTTTCGGTATTTGTATCTCGAGAACGATAAATAATCACGTTTAAGATTACATTGAAAATGATTAGTTTCATATTAAAATACTTCGATTAGCTATCAAGCAAAAAGTTATTACATTTTCCCTGTCGTCTTCCCTTGCGATAACTTGTCCTGTAAACTATGTATTTTTTCTTCCAAGATGATAATCCGAAACCTCTTAAATTATCTGTAAATCGATAGATCCAGTTTCGCTATGAATTGCCGTTAAAAACCTAATTATAATTCTCGATGCGGTATCAGCATCGTAAAACCGAGTATTAGAGATTATCCACGGAACAGCGATGAAATGGCACGTAAACGAATGCAGAT